TCCTAGAATTAAAAAAGAGTGAGATGGTCAATACCTTTTGAGAACTAGTTCTAGGCAGAGTAGACGCTCTGTTAAATAGCATAAATTTCCTTTCACCACAAAAAGTGAGGATAAAGAAGTTGACAAAACAATAAAAGTAACAAAGTTTTAAGTCCACTTAACTTATGTACAGTTAACCTAAAAGAACTGAAAATGCAAGGACGGATAGCTATAGAATAGCTAATTGCAAACTTTATGTAGAATTCTTCAAAAGTTCCAAATATGTAATAAGTGTTTGCTTTTAGAAATACCCATTATTTATCTAAAAACCCACAAACAGAAGTTCATATATCTTAGACAAAAGTTAGTATCGAATTAAACTAAAATATGGATGTGATCTATTAAAAGAAAGAAAGAAAGAAGAAGATATATACATAAGCAAAAAGAATTAAAAAAAAAGGATTTTAAGCCAAAAAAAAAAGCGATAAAAGAAAAAAGATAAAATGATGAAGAACCTTAATGAAACTGGGTTTCAGTTTGTGCGCTTCAACTCAGTTGACTCTCCTCAAGAAATAATTACAAAATACAAAATGCTTAACTTTTCTAATCTAATTCCCTTTTTTACAAAAATTCTGATTTTTTTGAACATTCATACTACAAAAGCCAAAAACTAAAACCTAGAAAAGCAACCTCGAAGGAAAACCACGATACTTACTAACAAAACCGGTGTCAGCAGCTTCATTTTCCAAATAAAAAGAGACGGCGACCCTTTTGCTGCCACCTTGGGTTCAGCTAACACTTTTCTTTTTTCCTTTTTTTTTTTGGAAAACAGGAGTATTCTGCAGAGAATAATGAAGAACCATATGTCAAAAAATCAGCAAATCGGTCAAAACGTCCATGGAAAATTTAATTAACGAGCTCATGAGTAGTTTTTCACGAATCAAATGAAATCTTACTGTGTTAATTCTCTCTCACGCCATTTTGCAACCAGAGTTCTTTGACATCGCCACGGTTGTAGAAGGCCAACTCGCCATTGCGGAACAACAACAAAAAACCAAAACCCAAAGAAAGAACCAATTCACAACAAGATGAATTAAAGACATTTTAAATAATCAAGCCATGTATAAACGTGTACAGTTTCACGAATATTGAGAAGTTATGTTAAAAGAAAAAAAGAAAAGCCCCTCAAGACTCTTCCTACCAAGAAAATTAGTCCTCAGATAATTATTTGAAGATATGGTTCCGTGTAGCAACATCTGCATTTTTTTACCACAATGACAACTAAGAATTATAAATCTCGCGAGAAAAAATGAAAAGCACATTCTAGGTGACAAAAGACAGAAATTAAAGAGAATTTATCATAGATCGGAATAAAGATTTTGAATTGACCTGTCAGGCAATACTTAAAGAAAGCACTGTCATTCTGCATAAACCTTGCAACAGCACTGCCATGCCTTCAACAGGCCTATGAGAAATTGATGCACCAAACTTGTGTACCTGTGAGACAATTACAAAGTAGTAGCTTTATGGAGGAGCTTAGATTTGTAGACTTGGTTCGTTTTAGAGTTTTTTTGCAGTAAAAACAAATGAAGACATCAATCTATCACACAATAATGATGTAGCTTTCAAAAAAGGAAATTTTATAACTATGTTTTTTAGCAATTAAAATGCATAACTATTGTGAAAGAAAAATATGCCCTTTTCTAAAACTTAGTAATGAAAACAAGAAAAAGGGAGAAAGGAAAGGAAAGAAAAGAAAATAGGGACCTTTTGTTTCTTTTTAAACCATTAATATCTGTGGTGGTGTGAATTTACAATGTACAATTGAAAGACCAATTAAGCAAATAATAAGAAGGTTTGGAAGCCCTACCTACAAAAACATAAGAGACACTAAACCATTCCAGCTCTGTAGAGTCAAATTGAGAATTATATTATTAAAAGTAAAAGAAAAGCAGAGAGGTTTCTCCAACTAATTTTTCCATCATCTCTCTCTTTTCCCAAACACATCCATCTCAATTTTCTTCCCTTTCTTCTCAAACCACCTCAATCACATCTACATGCATAGTAGAAATTGCACGTACAGCCAAATTACACA